GTGTGTGTGTGTGTGTGTGTGTGTGTGTCTTCCGCCAAAGTCTACCACGATCCCTCACACTCGGTACCAATTTCTCAACCTCTTCCACAGTGTGTCCTCCCTGCATCTTTTCACCATCCTTCTGCTCCTTGACCATCCACATCGACTTTCGCCCGGCATCAAGCAACAATCACATTATTGCCTCCCTCCTCCCACTCTAACCCTCTCACTCTCCTGATCCACTGACCCCTTCCTACTTTGTGAGCATGCCCTCGTCGAATCTCAGCATCATTTCTGCCGCTACGCTGTTCAGACGGGCTTTGGCCCAGCAAGAACCAGCATATGCCTGATGGACAACCATCATGTTATTGCGAATATCTTCCTACCACCTTCACCCTTCCTCTTCTCACCGCTCGGCTCTACTCACACCATTACCAAAGTCTACGGACGATCCCCACCCAGTTGAGGTTCAAATCAACGGCTCCGATGAAGCAAACTGACAGGCACGCAAAATGCCCAAGTCACTTTCCGACACAGGCCACCAGGAAAAAGCCAGCCAGCCTCTAGAAAACCAACCAAACAATCTCGTCTCCATCGAGCTTACTCTATAAAACCCAGAAATGTTGGTCGACTACTGTTGCACATCATTTTTTCAGGCGCCTTTGGGTATCATCTTCCAATTTCCTTTCAGCTTTGCACCTAAAAATAGGGTCATGACTGTTCTCACCGTAACAAACAACCATTTAGCTGTCCAAATCCAAACGAGTAGCAACGAAACATGATCTAACCCACCTCTTCGTCGCGCAAGGCCTTCTTCCTCCCTTAGCAGCGAACCTCGTATGTTCCTGCGCGAGTGATGTAGCGCACCCACTCAACCGTGCTGTAGCCGCTCTTCTCCCAAACCTGTTACGTCCGACAACAGCACAAGCAGACACAAAGGAAATTTGGTAAGTTCACCCGATGATTCAATAAGCCTGCACAGTCAATACCATGCTCCGTGCCTTGCTGTGTTGCCGTGCACCCTCCCCACGCCCACTTGCCTAGCTACAAGCTGCCTTGTCTTGCTGTGCTTGCCCACTCAGAACAGACTTTTAACAGGCTGTGACGGAGGGCATCATCATGAAATTCTGTGGACTGTTGAGGGTTCGGCCTCCTAATGAGTCAGTGAGAGCGCAACAAAACAGTCTGTCACGGGATTGACTATGATGTAGTCAAGCTATGTGCAAGCACACACATGCACACCCACATCCACACCCACGCACACCCCCTCACCTACACACGCACCTACCCACCTACCAACATATGCACCCACCGAGGCACTCATACACCCGCACATGCACCCTCCCAAGTACACACATGCACACCCATATCCACACCCATGCACACCCATATCCACACCCATGCACACCCCATCCGCACCCACGCACACCCACCCACCCACATACACCAGCACCCGCCCACCTACCAACATGTGCACCCACCCAGGCACTCCTACACCCGCACATGCACCCTCCCAAGTACATACATGCACACCCACCCACCTACATACGCACCTACCCACCTTCCAAGAATGCACCCACACCGGCACTCATACACCTGCAAATGCACCCTTCTCCCCCCCAACCCACCTACACAGACATGCACCCACCCACCCACGTGCATATGCACCCACCCAGGCACTCACACACCCGCACATGCATTCTTGCTTGAATGGGTTACACGAAGGCGGAACATCTGGGTTGGAGTAGAAACCATGGAATCATTTATCATCAAACATGCAAAGGTATAATAGGTCGAAAGAGGAGGAACAAGCACCTTCAGGAAGCGAACCCGCAAGCCAGATGCAGTAAACATTGGCACCTGCATTGAAAACCAGTCCACATACGGAGTCCACAGAGACAATTGTCAGACGGAAAAGCAGTCAAAGGGGTCAGCTCAACTAAGAGGGGATGCAGGATGCTACTCGGAAATCCAAGCGCGGCATTGCACAGAAACACATTTCAAAGTCCACATAAGAGATACTAGACCCGTCCTACGGGACAACGGTTAACACTGGAACGGTACAGAGAAGATTAGCACGGCCCCTCCGTAAGGATGACACCCATAAATCGAGAAATGGTCCCAAAAAATAAAAATAAAAGCACAGATTTCAAACCTCATGCCCTCCAGCACCAATTGGCACCAAATTGAAGACTCCAAGTTTCATCAAAGTTTCACAACGCTTCCTCTTTCTATATTTTTCTCTAAATTTATTCTGCAAGAAAAGGATGGAAGCATAGGTGGTCCCCTCTATATAGGCTTAGGAAGTTAGGAGTAGCGGTAGGTACGTAGTGAAAGGCAAAACAAGAATTTGAGAGAAGAATATAGTGTAGTTTACTGGTAGTTTTTTTTTTTTTATTTTTTTTTTAATTTTATTTTAAGGATGGGGAAGCCAGGGAACGGAACCATCATCAGCCTGCACATGACTGAAAGCAAAGACCTGCGATTGCCGCTCAGGCATGAAACCTACTGAGCTTTCACTACAAGGATGGGGAAGCCAGGGAACGGAACCATCATCAGCCTGCACATGACTGAAAGCAAAGACCTGCGATTGCCGCTCAGGCATGAAACCTACTGAGCTTTCACTACAAGGATGGGGAAGCCAGGGAACGGAACCATCATCAGCCTGCACATGACTGAAAGCAAAGACCTGCGATTGCCGCTCAGGCATGAAACCTACTGAGCTTTCACTACAAGATCTCGAGTTCGATCCACATGTAATTGGTCGCTTGCCACTCGGTTTTTCTCTATTTCATTCATGTATTTCATCTGGAATTGAACTCGGATCTGTATTTCATCAGTTCATGTGTGTACCAACTGAGCATTTGGCCCGTTGGCACCAATTGTCGCCCGGTTTCAGGCTCCATCCTATCTCGAACTTGCTGCAAACGCCACCATCTTCTTTCTATGCATTTTTGCTACAGGCTTGCAGCCTCGCACTGATCATGGGTTCGCATTGAGAGACGCAAAACAAACATCGAAGTGACCATGCATTTCCACAAAGCAAAAAAAAAACAAGCGCAAAAAAGGTTTAAAAGGCTCATCATTTGATGCGATTCTCACCTGGAATTCCATCTGAATTGGAGGTCTGGACCACGTCTTCTTCTCAGCAATCGAGGATATCAGCTCCACCTCAGCACTCATGCTCAGCTCTGTCTGCCCTGGAAACCGTCGGATCCTGATCCCAAGCACAAAGAAGCAAACAAAAACACAAAAAGAAAGGGACAAAGAAGCAACACCACGTTTATTTCGGCTCTGAAGCAACAACACATTTATTTCATATCTGTCCCTCTCATCGGCATCTTGTTGCTCTTTGCCACACCAACCAGTCGCATGGCCACCATTCATCCTCAACAACAGTTGCGGGTATGTACCCCATGTACGCAGACAATTACGCAATGTCATGAATTTCGCAACCCAAAGGACGAAGAATTTGTCAATTGCGGGTTTTCCTTCCTACCACAAGACCAAGAAGCCATTCTATCTGTGCTTGGCAAAATATGAACCTGGTTGTAATCAAGGCCAGGTACATGCCTTCCTAGGATGGACTACTTCAACAACAGCGTGAGGCCCAGCACTTCATTCATAAATCTGTGAAGGACTCATGCTGATGTGAGAGTGTGCTTGCACATTGCGCATGCATGTCGAGATGTGCTTGCACGTTGCACAAAATATGAACCTCGTAATAATCAAGGCCAGGTACATGTTTTCCTAGGATGGACTACTTCAACAACAGCGCGAGGCCCAGCACTTCACTCATAAATCTGTGAAGGACTCCTGCTGATGAGAGAGTGTGCTTGCACGTTGCGCATGCATGTCGAGATGTGGTGTTACAGCACTGTCACTAAATTTTGCTAACAAGAATTCGGAATTCCCAACCGTCTTTCAATAATCACAAAGCAGGCACACGTTCTCACACGGCTACTCCAGGGATTTCAAAACTCAAACAGGCCCTTTCTCCTTCCTTGCCTCTCCCCTTTCGAGACTTGTTTACTGAGCGGAGGCCAGAAGTACATGCAATTTTTTAAGAAAAACAAAATTGAAAAAAAAAAAAACGCAAAAAAACTTAAAAAAAGAAACGTATGTAAATATCGTACAGGCAGAAAAAGAAACACAAGTGACGGGTCAAGCAACTCGTCATACAAACACTTGAATAGAAGAAGCGCAAAAAAAAAGAAAAAAAAAAAGAAGTGCAGCCCAGGGAAGAGGGTGCAGAGGAGAGGGCAAAACATCAGCCCGGTCGTAAGCAAGGCCAGGTACATGCTTTCCTAGGATGGAGAAAGGAATGGGTGGCAAGGAGCACGTCGCGGACGAGAACCAAGACGGAAGTACGACATCCTGGCCGGCGAGGATAGACAAGACTTACTTCCACACAAGAGAGTCGATAGACGCGTTGTATTTTGCTCGTCCTGAAGAGACTTGGAAGGTCGTTTTCGCCGTGTGCTTGGGCACTGGAATCTTGACCACCACACCCAAAGCAAACATCTTCGCTCCAAATACACTCTTGACCTGCCACCACCATCGTCATCACAATGAACATGCAAATAAGTATCACCTCAACAGCGAGAACTTGTATTGCTCCTTTAGGGTCTCATATATGTATTTGTCCAATTGATGTAACATAATGTTACATAGTAGAGGTGTTCCCAACAACGTAAGAGCATATCCAACACTTAGGGATTTTCGGACACAAATCAGTGCACCATTTTGCAAAGAGGGGGGGGGTTGAACACCGCAATAGTGAGAAATGAGTGTACGCCGTACGGTCAATATCACTGCATCTAGACCAAAATGGGCCCAAATACAAGCATAATAACTGTACGTTCTATTCAGAAAATGGATGGCGGTTCCACAGGGAATCCAAGGAAAACTTGGAACTCCGCAAACGCCCATGATGCCATGCTATACCTTTCAGGGGAGTAGAGTATCGACGTTACCTTTCATTATTATTAGTTTATTCAACTTTATTAGTAATTTATTACTCTTTTATCATGACCACGTTCGGCGCATCCGAGCAACGCTGACAGCGTATGCGCATTCACACCGCACAAGGGAGTTGCGTTCCAAAGTGGAAGGTACAATGGCAATTTCACCTTTTCCCTCTTTTTTTGCGGAGGTATTTGGAACCAATTCGCCTCTTCCCTTTTTTTTTGGCCGATTTTCGTTTAACCTAGAAGGCCCCCGAAGCCAGAGATACTTTCAAAATTAGGCCCAGAAAGATCACCATACGCCTAACATGACCAGCCAGCGTACAGAACTGATGTCTTCACTCGAATAGAATGCCCGGTTATTTTATAGCTGCATTTGGTGCAACTTTTGGTCTTGATACAGCAATTAAGATCAGGCATTCTATGCAGGCGAAGACGGTAGCAAGAGAGGGAAAAAAGAGAAAAGCATGAGAAAACAACACAGGCTGAGCAGCAAAAATGAAGTCACACATGAAGCATGTCAAAGCCAGAAACAGGTCGATCCACAGCATGGGGGCAAAAGACAAGAAAAAGAAAGAAAAAGCATGGGAAGTGGAAGACTTGAAGCTGAATTCAGGTTGACATCAATATGTTTGAGCTGCAAATCATTAATTACTAATTAGTGTTCAGACGGTCCAAGAACCCAACCTTGATGTTGACTTCCATGCGGGTACGCCCTAGCTCCTTAATGATCGGGATTACTCGAAAAGGAAAGTTGATTCCTTCTGTAATTCGGTACCTGCAGACAATTTGCCGGAAAAGGAAAGCAGAAACTTAGTTATCCACCACCCCCTATCTCAGAGATTCTTGCCCACCCATGATTCCTATAGGTCATCATATGCTTGCATACTTGGGGCAGGGGCTGTCTCTTATACACATCTAGATGTGTATAAGAGACAGGTGTGTGTGTGTGTGTGTGTGTGTGTGTCTTCCGCCAAAGTCTACCACGATCCCTCANTTGTAGGGGAGTGCACTATTACAGGGGTGTATCATCTCTTTGGACCAGCAGGTGCTCATCAAAAAGTCGTCAAGAAGCCCTTCCTGCCGCGCTTTTCTTAGAAAGGAAGGGTGTGTCGACCATTCAACACAGAAGAGAGGATGCTCATACATCAACACGAGAAATTGTAAATATGCTCAATTAAAAAAAAAAAAAAAAAAAAAAAAAAGAAGATGATTTATGAGCATCCTCTCTTCTGTGGTAGCCGTTCCTGGAAAGTACCCTCCCACAGAGAAATTGCAAATATGCTCATTAAATTTGATTAAAAAAAAAAGAAAAAAAAAAAAAAAGCTCATGTAGTATCAGGCCTAGCTACCACATCCCAGGAAGGCAGCCCAATCCTGACATAAGGAGGTAGTGACAATAAAATAACAATACCGGGCTCTTTCGAGTCCGGTAGCTAAAATGAAAAAAAAAAAAAAAAAAAACAGGAGCAGGCCTCGAGCCTGTTATGTTCATATTGACAAGCCACTGAATGATCAGGCTCATGCTTCCTAATCGGGAAGTCAGCAGACTCAGCAACTGTGAGGTTGCACGTAAATAGGCATTATTGTGATGACCCGACCAAACATGGACTGAAACACACAGCTGATTTCTGAGTTTTGCTCATATACTGAATGCCTTGCTGAGTTTCCCGCTTGCTACTAAGTTCTCTAAGTCTGTGTGTATGCACGCTTGCTGGACTGCATGTCTGTCTGAGTGCTGGTTGGCTTGAGTGTGTGTGTGGCCCGCAAGGGCGCTTGTTCGTTCGTTGGGCCCTCAGGGCCGGTACTACCTGTGGCCGTGACATTGAGGGATTGCAGCCGGGGGAAAACACTCAAGTAGCAGGTAGGCCGGTACCGCACCCTGAAGAGGTAGATGTGAGGGTACTGGAGGCCGAGCAGAAGAAGACAAACGTGGCATTTTGAAGAGGCCCAGTAGTTGAGGCTAGGTCTAGGCGGGTACCAGTCCAACCAGTCTGAGTCTAGGGCCTGTACGGGCAATATCAGAGTCTGCAATGATGTTTCCGTCCGAAAGGGAGGAGGTACCGGTTGCTTGGGAAGGCCGAGCGGCCTGGAAGTCACCGCCCAACAGGCAAGCAGGCCGCTATATCTCCAGGCCGGGCGAAGAGCCCAGCCTCATTGTCGGTGTGCAAGTTTGGCGACACGCTGGTTGGAGCGCTGGCTGGAGCAGCGCTAGCTCGGAGCAGCGCTGCTGGGGAAGAAGCAAGGCCTCGGAGGAGGAAGAAGGACAGGAAGGGGGAGGAGCGCCAGAGGTACTTACCTGGCTATGGTGGCGGCCATCTTCACCACCTTGGTGGGCGCTGCAGCAGGGAGACCCCAGCTGGGGAGATTTACACCAAGAAGCTTTGAGGCAGAGTCAGGCATGGCGGCCTGAGCTAGAGCAGCCATAGCTGCTTTGCGTTGTCCTTTGCACAGCAGGGCAAGGCCCAAGTAGTCCGCCATGCCCTCGGCCGATGGGAGTGAAGAGTGAGGGAGGAGGCCATGGCTATGGTGGACCTCAAGTGATACCTGCAGTAGAAGAGGGATTCGGACTTTGATTCTTGTTCAGCTATTCAACATTGTATTATTATTTCTTGTGTGAATAAGAGAGGAGGAGATAAGGAGGGAGAGAGGGTTGAGCGAAGAAGAAGAGCTTTATCATTTGTCTATGCTGGTGTACATCATCTTCTTCTTCTTTCTTACTTCTTCTTGTTCCAACCTTCTCTCTCCTCTCAAGTTCATTCATTTCTTTCTGCAGTTGGACGGCATTGTACTATCTGATCAATCTCGAAATTGGCCAGGATCATAACATCATGAACAGTCCAGAAACGGTAAAGAAGAGAGAGTGCACCACACAAAGTAGGGAGGGACAGCAGATAAACTCACTTCATGAGTTCAAACTCGCCATCTGGAGGAACAAAGCTGACCGTCTTCTCTGTATTGAATCGCCCAAGATTGACGCATTGGTGGAATGTAACGTCGTCCAGCTCGATTGTCTTCCCACTGCCAAACAGAAAGACGGAAAGGTTATGAAAGACAACAATTCTACATGGACGACGACAATTCTACATGAATCACGACAATTCTACATGAATAACGACAATTTGACATGAATGACAACAGAGAAGACAGGAAAGGTCCGGAATCACAACAACTTGAAGCGAGAGTTCGGTGGCATAGGGATCCACTGCCCGGCCCGATTGTCTATGCACTGTAACAGTAGATGAATGGACAGAGTCCGACAGACGAACATTATTTACGACATCCATTAAAATCAGACTGATGCACAGAAATATAGCATGGCCCCGGCGCAGGGATGACACCCATAATTTTTTTTCCTTTCCAGGAATTGAAAAAAAAAAAAAGCAGACCAACGTAGCAAGAAGTGTTCAGTGGCGTGGAATACTAAGCCCCGCTGTCACTGTGTTCCGTGGCGTGGAATATTAAACCACCAGTACTTCGCCCAGCTATCGATGCCGAGCCTGAAAACGACCTGCGCGCCGTTTCTTGCCGACCCGCCAGCGCAACCAAAAAAGAAAGTTTTGGCTGGCGGCGCCAGCCTTTCAGGTTGGGGACCCCAGGCCTCCGCAAGTTGCAGGGCGTTAACGACAACGCCCATCGGCCGATGTTTGGGCCAAGTACTGGTAGTTTAAGCCCCGCTTCCACAGAGAAAGACGGAAATTTTACCAACCATGACAATTTGTTGTGAACGTTCGTGTAGTGGTTTATCATCCAGCTCCATTCAAGTCCATTGTCTTTTTTTTCCTTTCTTTTTTTAAAAAAAAAAGGAAGACGGCCTGTAGATATCATCATCCAACCGATCGGCCCCACGCAATTCAGAATGATTTTATTGAAATTTATTCTCTTCATCTGAAGGTATCTGAATTTGAACTTGAGTCTGTATTTCAACAGTTCAGGTCTGTATCGAACTGAACGACCTGTATTTTTTTTTTATTTTTATTTTTTTTTTTGAAAGGAAGACGGCCTATATTTGTACCAACTGAGCTCAGTTGTCTTCACATTGAAACAGAAGATGAATAGGAGCCCAAGTAAGGGCACGCTCACGCTGCGACTTTCCTAAATGTATCTGACTGCAATAACGGCCCCGCCTGGATGAGTAAGACCACAATCACGTTCACAGCATAGTAGAAAGAGTCCTACTGTCTTCACCCGAAAATATCGCCCAGCCATGGTATACGAATTTAGTGCCCAACATACCCGTTTACAACGCCTAGGTGTTGTATTCCGTAAATTGGCAGAAAAAAAAAATAAAAAAATCTATCAAGGAGATATTGTCTACAATTGCAATGCAACCAATTTTTTGGCTGAGGGTCACTTCAGAATTTATAAAATAGGAAATATAAAAAGAAAACAAAAAATCAAACCAAAACATAACCCTTGGAAGTCAAAACCCCTTTCAACCCCCTTTCAAACCCGGGCATTATATTCGAAGAGAATGCCTGGGCATTATTTCGATGTGCCATGGGTAGAGTGCCTTATAGAGGGAGTACACATGGGTTTTAAAGAGGAGGGCGGGGGGGGGGGGGGGGGGGGGGGGGGGGGGGGGGGGGGGGGGGGGGGGGGGGGGGGGGGGGGGGGGGGGGGGGGGGGGGGGGGTTGTATACATGGGTTTTTTGAAGGGGCGTTATATTCAAAAAGTTGGTTGCATTGCACACAAAAGTCTGGTTTTTTTACGGTTAGTTGAATATAACTCCCGGGCGTTATTTTCGGGTGAAGACCTTAGGACTTCTTCCACTGCACTCTGGACGTAATTGTGGTCTTATTCATCAAGGTCTGGCCGTTCTCGCAGTCAGATACATATAGGAAAGTAATAGCGTGAGTATGACAAAAGTTGTACCCCACAGATGAGTTGCTTTCCACTGCCACAGAGACTCAAAAGATACTTAACAGACAGAACAAGGGTTCAACAAGGTGTCCTTCTGGACATCCGTTAAAATGGGAACAATACAGAGAAGATTAGCATGGCCCCGGCGCAAGGATAACAACGCGCATAAATTGAGAAATGGTCCAAATTAAAAAAAAAAAAAAAAAAAAAAAAGGACTTCATCAATGTCTACTGCAGGCATACAAGACCAGCTTCAACAATGTCTGCTCCAGGACAACCTTCATCCACAGCATCTCCTATACCTCCAATCATCTGGGTATATCAGGAGGTCGTGGGTTCGATTCAGTAAAGCAGATACAAAAAATCAAACCAAAACAAAACCCTTGGAAGTCAAAACCCCTTTCAATATATATTCTATATTCCATACAATATATATATTCTATAGGGCCGACAGGGCGCCACTACCGTCTTCACCCAAATACAACGTATGGTCATTATTGTTATGTCCAGACTCAAGGTTGCCCCAAATACAGCTATAACGACTGTAAGTTGTATTCGGGTTAAGACGGTAGCCGTTTCTGGACCCGTAGGATCAACCTATCTACAAACCCTTGGCCGCCACCGGCCATTTTGAAACAGTAGTCCCAGGGGTCGGGCTTTTAAAAAAAAAAAACAAAAAAAGTACAGCTGCCATCTCCTCATATGAGGGACAAGCTGTATTTACTACCCTATTTTCTTCTCTCGATCTTATATCTACCTTACACTAGCTACCTACCTACCTTATCTGTTTTTTATTATTATTATTATTTTTTTTTTATTTTTTTATTTTTTTTAACCAAGCTATTTTCACTCATATGCCTCACACTACCTATCCTGATATGTAAGTCCAGTTTTTCCAAATGGTTGCAGTTATGGGTTAACTCTCCCTAACGAGCCCCAGCCTTCAGTTCGTTGCGGAGAGCAGTAACCTGAACACCTGGAACAACCTGGAAAGCATCCTCTTCGCTTCCACAACCAGCCAGGAGGCCCAAGCCAACTGTCTCCACTGGTGAACCAGAAGCATATCACAGGGGGCGGCGGGGGATCGAATGGACGACGTGTGGAATCGAACCCACGACCTCCTGAATACCGCTTACGTGGTCAATCAACTGAGCTAGGCCGCTTGGGCTACCTACCCTTAACTATTATGAAGACTTCCCCTTTTTTAATCTTATGCACCAGCCAGACCACGAACCCTACCTTAATCTAGCAACGGGACACAAGCTATCGCACGGGTTATGGGTTGCGCCTAACTACCTCCATCCCAGCCTACGTATTCCCTCACGGTTGGGCCTCCCGGTTGAGCCTATCCCCTCAGGGTTGAATCTAGCCCCTAGCACGGACGGAAGGGGGCATCATAGTTACCCCTACCAAGACCCACTAGGGGGGAGCGGGGGGGGGGGGGGGGGGGGCGGCGAACCAACTATCTCAGGCGGTGACCCCGAAGTATGCAGAAGGAGCTCATGGGGAGCCGAATGGATGCCATGGGGAATCGAACCCAACACCATTCTTTTTCCCAAACAAACTTTTTTTCCCCCAAACTGGGCCAAACATCATTTTCATTTTTCTTCTTCCTTTTCTTTCCGTCCTAACATCTCCCTTCCTGCTCGCTTCTTTTGCTCTCATTCTGTTGCCGATGATTGGCGTGAGGAGTGTGTCATTCCTGCCAGGGGTTCTCGCAGTCTCTCAATTCCTTTGCTACACCAAAACTCCACAAGGGCATTCCTACTGCAGATTGGGTGTGTTTTCTACAAGTTTTCCACAAGTTCTTTCTTCCCATTTGAGTTTTCTTCTCTGCATGTCCCTAACCACACCTCTCTTTCCAATTCATTTTGCTCATCCCTGATATGCTTGCGAGATGGAAAGACATCAATAATAAAAGGGAAGCAGACGCCATGTGTTCACACAACATCTGGCCAAAGATTACCTCCTTGGAGGCCTTGCTCTAACCTGTGCCTCCTTCTCGAGGCCCAGTTTATCGTTGAGCCCTAGTTTCAACTCCGGCATCCCAGACAAGAAACACTTCATCAGAATCTTCCCTGTTACATCACACCGCAGAACATTTCCTGGAAAAGCACATGGGCACACACACACACACACTCTATTTAATTGACAGCGAACTTTGA